GACCACGGCCCTATGGTTGGCGCTTGTGCTTTTGCCCCGCCGCGCCTTATTCACGCGTGCAAGACTGGGCTGATGGCGACTGCGTGGTGGTCAACCTTTCACTTGGTGACGGCACATTAGATCTTTGACATCACGTGTACGCACCGTCAAACTCCTGCGTCTTCGTTGATCGGGAGTGCCAGTGACTTAACATCCTTAAAAGATGGCTGGCAACTGGAGTCTTTGGAAGAACTGTGTGCAGGTTTGTCTTGCTTCACATGTTGAACCTTTCAGTCATTGAAAATGACAATGAAAGAAAACCGGCGTGTGAGAAAGAGCAAATCTTTCGCTCCACTACTGAACTTGTACTTATCTCTGATTCCCATGGTTTTTCTGTTTATACCTATCTACCTTTTATACTTCAGTTATATGCGTATATATATATATATATATATATATATATCCCGCTCTTATTCCTTCAGGTTTACACTGGATATGGTTTGTGTGGGTGGAGCTGTTGGTGGTGCAGCGCAAGCCATCCATGGTCCCTCTGTAGGCGCAGGCGTCATGTGGCTGGCCACAGTGACAGGCAAATCCGAAACCGGATGCCGCCAACCATATGGTGGCACCCACCCAACTTATCCATTTGGGCTTTGTTAAGTTAGTAGTGCGCCTTAGTTCTTTTCTGTTTCCATAGACTCAGGTTCAAGTGCTGGGGCTGATCAGGCCGAATTTCGCTTTTCCCCCATGCCTCTATACTAGTATCACGCATTGACGCGTTGGCGCAACGAGAATTATGAAGATGCAAAAAGATCGCAGTCATTTTGTGTGTGCATTTGCTACATTTTTGCTCAAACCAGTATCAGGATAGGGAGTGTACGAATTCAGAAAGGTTACAGATCGTCAAACCAACCATACACACTGGGCAGTATCGCTTCTGACCGCTGATGTGACCACCTCATTACCCTTGAGGGTTTTATCCATATCATCGCTGTTCAGCTATGGTCCCTGCACCTGCTGGTGGGCTGGCATGCGTAACACGTGTCCGAGTCATCGGAGCCTCTTGCGTGAAACGACGGTGCTGAGCAATTCATTTTCTTATTCTTTGCCGTAAACAAGGCGTCCAAGACGCCCATTGCTCACGCGGTGTTCCCACCAGATTTGAGCCAAACTGAAAAGGCACCGGTGTTCGGACGTAACTAGCCTCTTTATGTCCGTGGATCCAGGGGGCCAGGTTTTTCAACCGTACAGTAAGGTCGAACCTACCGCTGCATTGTACACTCTACCCTTCAGTGCGAGAGTGATGTCGCGCTGCCATCACAGGTGGCGAAGACTAGAAAAATCATCTTGAGCTTTTGCTATACTGTTCGTGATCTCATCTTCGACCCCAAGGGCATAGATACAACTTCCCAGGTAGTTTACTTTCTGAACAACTACTAGCTGATCCCCACGAAGTGTCAACGCAGGAGGCGATCCAGGCCAATCTTGGAGGAATTCATTGCACTTCGATGGTACAAAGCAAAGCCCGAAGCGGCAGACAGCCAGTGCTAATCTGTCCAGTGCAGGTTGGCACGTCTGTCACAGATGAGGGCAACATTGTCTGCACACTCCATATCAAGAACTCGTTCTCCTGGAACCACCTCCGCATAATTATTGCATTCAAAATTCAGCAGAGTGAACCATGCCGAGCCGGGTTTAACCTTTTGTGAAGGCGGTTTCATGCGCTTCCAAACAAATTCGCCTGTGTAACCATTTTTTCCTATTTACTTGTAATAAAACTGAGTTCGCACTTGTTTTCCCTACCACTCGTGAGGTTTCGTTTCTGGCTAGATGGAGCGAACTTAGCTAAATGTATGTACTGAGCACTCCAGGTTGTTCTCCCGTGCGTTTTTCTCTACATCGACTGGTTTGATTTCTTGGTGTTCTGGATAACAGCTGTTACTTTCAATTCTGCGATGAACACTATGTTGTTATGTGCAGCTTTGAAGTGTGCTAACCGATCTTCAATGCATCCTCGGCTATCCGCTATACAAAATATGTGGCCGTAGAACATCAGGTTGTCGATAGATCCACAAAGCTCAATGCCTCCCAATCTGCTCATGAAAATGTCTGTGAGTAGGGGCATCATTTTTGAGCCCATAGCTACCCTGTTTATCGATCGTTAGCATTTCCCGTTAAACTGGGACTGAATGTTTCTCGTCCATATCAGTAATAGTTGTTCCAGCCGGTCGGCTTATTATTCCTATGTGGATGCGGTGTAATTAGGTAAAATCATAGAGCTCGTCTAATCTCTTCTAGTGCGACGTTGGTAAACAGTCACACTGCGAGAATGTCTTCCGTCTAGTCGGTTCCAGTTGTTGCATGCGGTTGCAAAGCTCAAGCGAGACAACCTTTGTTAATCCGGGACTTATTTCCCCATCTCTTCGCCAGTTTAGCCCATTTGTTGAGCACCTTCGCTTCTCCAGGGGTTTGGGTGCCTGAATTGATACTTTCGAATGGGTAAACATTCAACTCGATCTTAGAATCAAACTAAACACCTGGTGGATACGCACAGCTTGTGTGATGATCAGCTACCGGATGACGCATTACGGAGCCGTAATACTGTTGGCGCAGCCTCTCGTTGAAAGCTCGCACCGTAGTAGACTTCTTTAGCATCCATCATCAGCACTTGAAATGATTCCTAATCTTTCCCACACGTAGAAGTCATTAAAACTTCGTCTATTCACCTTCCCTCCTCCTGACCAAGAACATTCTAGTCCCTGACATTTACATATGACTTTGACAGCTGTTTTGTTTTTATATGAGTCACATGGTCCTCGACACACTGCTGCGAAGAATCCTCAGTTACTTGCGTATAAAGATCCCTTACCTATACGGTTAGTGGAAACCATGGTTTTCTGGTCTAACCCGGTCCTCTGCAACGTTCACAAAACTTGCATGGCATTGGAAAATGAGGTTTGATATAGTATTGTTAACTCGTAGGTCAGGATGGTCTGCAACCGTCACCCGTAAGCTAGGGGCATAAGATGCTGAACAGTGGCGCTTGTCGCTTGTGGTTATTGGTTCCCATCTTGATGGATCCGAGCAATGTTCACTACCGAGGAGTCCCGATAGGACACAACGGCCGTCTGGTGCTCTTTCGGACATGTGAAGGACTGCTGCGAAGAACTTCCAATTAATTTTATTCAAAAATCTACTTCCACGAATCATTTTGGTTTCTTACAATAGCTTTTGATACCAGTATGCTCTTTTATTGCTCGGTTGCTTTCGCCTATACCTGAATCATGTAACTGGTACAGAAGCCATGTGGAATCTGTATGATTCCACTGCTTATCATTTGCTCTTACCTGTGTTCTCATTGGTTAACTTCCACTGGAGAGCAGCTTCTGCACAACCATTTGTTTACTTAATTAACGTTGCACTGCCTTGTAGACGTGAAAAACATACCGAATCATGCAGTGTGCAGCGTCAATCAATCAGAAAAGCGTTTGTTTTCAGAGGGCGAGTCCCATCCAACGAAAGCTATATTTTCTACTTAATATAAGTTTACCAATCCGTCACGTGACAGTGCCTAGGTCAGTACCGATGGGGAGCCCATTTCCACCGCAAGTCTGAGAAAAAAGCGGACATTGGTACACTTTCTGTAGAGTTCGAGAGTCAACTTGTCTTAGTTCTAATCTGCTAAGTGGGTAAGCGTAGAAGAATATGAGCTAAGCAGCACCATATGTAGGTACGGTCCGTCACACAGCATAGGAGATAGTCTAGAGGAGTCAGCTGTATACGATCAAAAGTAACTGGGTACCATCGAAGCAAGTTTTCGAAACAATTCATTCTTTTGAGTAGGGAGATCTTACTTGTACTTTTAATGTATTCCTCCAAGCAGCTTACAAACTAATTGCTCAACCACAATCCGGAAAATCACCAGATGCGTGTCGCCGTATTGGGGCTCGTCAGTGGTGCGCATTCCCTCGGTCACCTAATGGGGATCGAACCCATGACTGCTATAGGCTGACGCCAACTAACCAGCATCTTAGGCCACTGAGCCATGGGGGACATAGCGTCTAGTGAGAGGAAGTCATGACCTCGGAGGCTAGCCACTGTCATACGCGAAGTTAACAACCTGCGTAACAATGGAAGATAGATCGTGTTATATCGCAGTTATTACAATTGTGCGAATATTCTTTTCGATAATTCACTTCAGGCATCTACAGTTATTAATAAAATTATGACACGAATAAGCTTGTGAAAGCCTTAGTAAACTAGGGGAAAAGAACATAGGGGAAACCACACTTTTGTCCAAACGCTTAGCTAAACATTACGTAATCTAGATCAGTTAGTCTGCAAATTATGTAGCTCAGCTAACGTCCCCTAGGACCGAGGGAATGCACACCACTGACGAGCCCCAATTGGGTGAAGTACGTCTGGTGCTTTTCCGCACTAGGCTGTGCTATGTACCTTGTGAGCTACTAGGACGAGAACATTAAGATTAAACCCTCCTACTCATAAGTAATATAAAATATGGCCTCCTAGTTTTGAAAGCTATGGACGTAATGTCAAGTGAGAGGAAGGCACTACCTTCGGAGCCAAGCCACTTTCACCTGCTGTAGTAACCTGCGTGGCAGTTGTTGGTAGTTCGTGCTGTATCCCAATTAGCTTGCAAACTATGCAGCTTAACCGACGTCCCTCATGGCTCAGTGGCTTATGTTACTGGCTAGTCGGCATCTGCCTCCAGCGGCCATGGGTTCGATTCCCAATTGGGGACCGAGGGAATGCGTGCCACTGAGGAGCCCCAATAGGGCGAAACACGTCTGGTGCTTTTCCGGACTAGGCTGTGCTATGTAGCTTGTGAACCGCTGGGTCGAATACATCAAAATAACAAACCTTCTGTTGACTTAACGTTCCTAGTCAGCCGTCTACACATTTGGCTAGTTTAACAGTACAGGTGACTGCTCCTCTACCTTGACTAGTTTTGGATTTGTTAAACCTTGCTGCTCCACTGTGATGGCAAACGGGTCTCTATCTGCCATGTTTCTTCTGTGCTTTCTCAGTCAGCGGAGAATTTTCGGCAGATATGCGACGAAACCAGAGTGTTGAAGGAAAAATTACTCAATACACATTGGGAACAAATACAACCGTTCGATTCGGCCGCAGTCCGCGAAGGGTATCTATTCATCCCTATCAAGAGTGAGTTTGCGTTTATCATCTCTTTGAGGAAACACAAACACGCTTCCTACAATTCTTTTCTGCCTCTCATGTGGTGCACCAGATGTGGTCGCATAGACGCCGTTAGAACCCGTCAACTATAAGGTTACCGGCGATTCTCTGGACGTCTTTGACGTATGCTCATCGCTACATTCTTCATCTTTGCGATGACTGTTTTAAAATTTTGCTGTTTCCGTGCCGACCATGACATGTGCTTCCAGTTGACTAACATTTCGTCTTCTTATGTTGTATGGATACATCTGGCCGTTTATTGCTTATAGTTGACTGTAAACTAGCTCACATACTTTCTTCTTCGTATATAATCCATATGTTATCGAATGTAAGCCCACAGTATAAAAGCAGTATTACATTTGTCCAAAGTCGGGAGTCTACCTCCAAAAATATCCGCAATAAAGAAACGAATCTTTTTCTCTACGATTTTGACTTATACAGAAATGAAAAACTATCCAAAAATCACCTGCTTATATTGTTTTAAAATCCACTAGCCAGGTGTTCCTCGAATATCCGTAACATGCTACACTTAGTAGACTTGTTTAAGTATTTGACTTCTGTCGAAAATGATTTCCGAGGGACAAATTGGCGGTAATAGGGTTCGGACAAGATTTTCTTCAGCGACTTATCAGGCGATGCACTCGAACTGTAAGGACCGGATTGGACACATGAGAATTACGTGCATGGATCCGTGGGTAGAAACGTCCAATCGACAAGGCTTCCTGATTGGTCTGATCAAAGTCCAGTCCGGATGGAGGCGACATTATCGTCATTCGAGGCGACCTGTGGCCATGGTAGGCCGAGGGTAAGTAGGTCAGTGTGTTGATGTCAACTGGCCGTTATCTACTGTAGCAAAACGGTGACATCTGGCTGTTCATATGTGACTGCCGAGTATCCATCAAATAGATAGGCTAGACTAAATCATGCGCGTTGACTTGGTGATTGGAATCAGCACTTGTTCAAATGTTCTTTACGGCAATGTAGACCCAGGCTTGGCTGTGGTATACCATTTTTTACGGACAGTCAGCTTGTCTTTTTCCCAATGTACTTCACTCAATGCGGAAAAATGAAACCGTACACGCAAAAGGAAGCCTATGACTACCATAGCATATCATGGATGCGGTAACTAGGCGTGTGGCAGCCAGTTGTTCACATGGACAAACGACGACAACAACACGGGGATGCAAAGCGCATGCGTAGTGCTTTGTATGAAAGAGACGGAATACCACCGACATGAAGAGGATGTGATGTGATTGTCTAGTCAGACGGAACAGATAGATCCATGCAACGGGTGAGCCAGCTACTAAAAGGTGAATCTGATGGATTTTGTTATGGGGCACAACATGCTTGGTCATCCGTCTACACGACCCCGCTGACCGGTGCGCGTTCTTCGTCCCGTGTTTAACCGAACTAAATGCAGATGCTTATTCACCCAAAAGGGTCTTACTAATAGTATTGGACTAGCATTATGTGCCAAGGCGTTTGCGGGTCAAGTGTGTTTTTATTCTCGCTTTTTTGTCTCTGTGGAGTACGCCGTCTGTATGGGATGTATTAAATAAATAAATAGTTTATTCTCGTCAATGCGAGGCACACCATCAAGGGCGTGATCATGGTATTACAGACATGTACGATCGGTGATTGCACAAAGTAGTACATTTTGACCAATACCATAGGAATTTATGCGTGTATTGAAATGTAAAACTATGTTTATCTGTGTATTTGTAAGGGGACATGTTGTGTGAGTAGGTAAATGTGACTGTGTGTGCATTTGTTACCCAACTTGAATTATTTGCGCTTAGACAGTACAGATCTTCGCCTGGATCTTCACGAGGTTCAATGATCCATCGAGTTATGATGTCGCTGAGGAGATGGGAAGTATTTGCAGTTAGACTAGTCCCTCAGTTTTTCTGACATTCAGGAAGTTCATTTGACGAACACCACTTGAACGGTATCGCTTTATTGCAACTTAAATCACTGAACAAGAGAGATGAGTCACCGACGTTTTTGGCCATGGCGTTCAGCGACAGCATCTCGTGCCCTATCTCATCGGAAGTGTGAACACTCCAGATAGTTCCGGGTGATTTGCGTAACGATATTGTGGCCTAGGTAAATCGCTCAATGAATCCCACTCTTCAAACGGATGCATCTGAGAAAACATCTCTTTTTTGTCCTTCATAGCAATGATTCCAACTAGTCGTGACTTTTCTTGGGCTTTTACTTCGAATAAGATAGAGCAACGTTCGTTCGGCTACCTCTGATGACAGTGTGTCCTGTTCCAATTCATTGACCTTGGGAATCGGTCATTAGACTCGTGGTCTAATGTGACCCCGAACACGCGGTCGCTTCCCGTCCATCCATCCTCCATCCGGCTTCTCAAGCTGTGATGACTTTCACCTTCCGATGTTTTTTTCGTTCGTCGTTGACACCAAATCTAAGACGAGCCGCCGAAGTAACATTCTAGGTTACGAATAGATACTCAGTGTAATTTTGTAGTGGTTTTCATCCCAGTAGTTCACAATCTACATAGCACAGCCTAGTTCGTGAAAGCACCAGACGCGTTTCGCCCTTTTGGGGCTTGTCAGTGGTGCGCATTCCCTCGGTCCCCTACTGGAGATCGAATCCATGACCACTAGAGGCAGATACAATTAGGCAGCAGCTTAAGCCCCTAAGCCATGGGGACGTTCGCTGGTCTATATAATTTGCAGTCTAACTGGGATATAGCACCACCTACCTGCCACTGTCACTGACAATGGCTAGCTTGAATGGTGCTAACCTCCTCTCGCTAGACGCTACATCCATAGTATTTAAAACTAGGTGAGGCTGTCTGTTTTATATTACTCCTCGGTAGCAGGATTTTAGTTGTAATTTTGTTGTGTGTATCTATTCAATTAGCATTTGGCTCGCCACCTTGTTCCGATCTCGCCATGCCAGCGTTATCGGGCCAGGACACACACACACACCCCGTAAGTGAGTGCGGATTTCGATGCATCCACTGCACTTGCGATTTATGCTTTGTTAGCCGCCCTTAAGCAGTGTTGTTGGTCGTCATCCGTTTCTCACGCTTACACTCGTATGCTTAATATGGTTGTTTTGTTTCTTCGTCGACAGCAACCTCATCGAACATGAGGATTGCGAAATCTGGATTACCGTCTCACAGTTTAACTCATATTCAAGTTTATAACGTGCTAGACAACCCCATTCTCTGCCCATTCATAACACGTGTGACAGTGTGGGATGAGCCGCGCCAAATCACAGCCAGAAATCAATCACGGCGGTTTACCACCCTCACCCTTGGCTCAGTTCCGGCCTGTGCCCTAAAGGATCACAGGCCTGCCTTGTACTCCGAGGGCGCGGGTTCGATCCTGCGTAGGGGACCGGACGACCTTTGTAAAACCTTATTACACGCGCGAATCTTCGTGGTTGCAAAGGAGCGAAGCATCGATACTGCATACCGGCACACTGCTGATACCTTCTTCCTCTACCCATGGTTCAGTGGCTCTTTGGACTCAACAGTACCTGGTGAATGCGCCCTACTAACGTCCCTCAATATGACAGGATTGTCATCCAGCGCCGCCTGGTGTCTATCTGGCTGCGACAAACCTCGTAAGCTCTGTAATACGTTTATTGTTTTGTGCTACGTCACGTTTGACCACGCTCGACGCGGATGTTTACACTATGTTCACCCGCCCGATTTCGTCGCCTTGATTCCCGGCCGCGTAAGGTCGTTCGTCGTCGCTGGGACCGATGGTGTGAGATGTTTTCCCGACCTCACCCGGTATGAAGATTGCTTCCATCATGGAACTATTCGCGACCGTGCGACCACCCTGTTAACGTCTAGGACCGGTGTTTCCCCACATTCTGGGTAGTATATACCGGTAATCAAACCTTATGCGTCTTGTCCGTACGCCGCTTCGTTTGCGTAATCTTCTCTTAGCCCCAATGCTATCTACTCTTCAAATTCAAGTTAACACAATTCACGCCCACTGCACCTATGGTACTGAAATCACAGCGATATTTTAAACCACCTTCATACTCCATTCCCATTCCTAACCGTTGGACTCCTGTGCGAGTAGTGCCCGGAATGTCTCATTCGCTTTCATACGTTAGCCATCCTGTGAGATCATAATTGCCGGAGTTGGTTAGACTCTCGACGATTGCTTGTAGTAACCAGGCTTCATTGGCTCGTGATACACTACTAACCAGTTGTAGGGGGGGAACAAGCAAACTTGATGAAATCAAAGAAATCCTAAATCACTGCGGACCAAGGGTGCGTAGTGCAGAAATCAAGCACAAAATCGTGGATGAAGGCGTGCAGCGGAACGGAGGGTCACAATGGCACCACGAATGAATGTGCAAATAGGCCCGACGGATCTATGCTCGAGCTATCGTGCCATCTAGACGTGTGCCCATGTCAAATTGGTCTGCACCACGTTGCGTTTTCAACAAGCCCACTACTATTCGGCCGCACTTCGTGTGCAATTTTGGGTCTGTTCACTAAGCAGTAGTGCACCGTGAATCTCCTCCATACTCCCTCGAGTTGTGTGAGACTAATCAAGTATGCTATCGCTGTCCAACAGCTTCTGCCCTTCGTCGTGTACTCTCTCTTGCAATCTTTTTTTTATTTCCAGAAGCCGTTACTACCCTGTGGATTAAACACTTTTGTGTATATGACCGTAGGGACAAAATCTTGAAGGTCACCGCATACACTCAAGGACGCACCTCGGATTCAGTAAGTCACCTCAGTAGTCCTTTGCCTTATCGGACAACCAAACCCTGTCGTCTCTAGTGCACGCCTATTGCCGCCTTCTTCAGCTGCATCGTTGTTGAGGCTGCAAGCCACACATTTTCACCCTATTACGTTCTTTCTTTGGAAGTCACTTACATCTGTTCCGTCTGTGTAGGAAGCTGCAAGCTAATTTGGTACATCATGCTTTACCTTTTACGACTCCATATCTCTACGGACTGCTAAGGATCACCATAACGGTCTTTCCCAACGCCGCGTAGTGAGCTCTTGTTTGTGGTCTTCATTGCGCTCTGCCTCCTCCTTTCTTCCTGATACACTTCGGTCGGTTCTCACTAGTCAGTCGCCTTGGTTTTGACCGTAATTACTGTGTCTCCAGTCATACTACTTGCTGCTTGCACTGTAGTATTTTCTGTAGTTAATAATTTCTCCCGCCCTCCTTTAAGAAATTACTGACACTTGTTCCCGTCATACCACTATGTAACCTGGGATCATCGGTATCTGATCCTCTTTCTTCACACAGAGCACTGAATGCCACGAGGTCAAATCCTGCACACGTCGATCCTCAGACAGCATTGATCGACGGTTTTGCTTCGATGTGGAGGTTGAAAACAGGTACGCCTCTCAATTTTGTCTACTGTGTTACTCTTGTTTAAAACATCTCCAATTTAAACATCAGGCGTGCCGGTACTGTATAACCGCGCTACACTGCTGCGCGACCACCACCTGTCGCACGTAGACTTAGCATACTGCGAGAGTCGCCCGGTCCCTACGCAGGTTCTAACCCTCGCTGTCAGATTACAAGGCAGGCTTGTCATTCCTAAGACTACCGGCCGACTTCCAATTTAAGCTTGCTCGTTGAATTCCGCGACCTTTGTTTTGATACCCCTTGCCGACTCAGGCACTTAACATTGTACCAGACCGGGTCGCTCCTGCTTTCATTGAACTGAACTTGTCTCTTATCGTTTACTACGCGCAAATTTGGCATCTTCATCTGAACCATTCGTCGACATTTCGTCGATTGTCACCAGAATGTGACTGTTTTTTGTTTCCATTCTCAACTATCAGTGTATTGTTATGCCGTCTTCTTGATAAGATACCAGATGTTGCAGTTGCTATCCTTACCTTGAACTGGTGCTTCCTCGATAACGATTTAGAGAGTTGCTTTTAATTAGAACTGATGGTTTCCTCGTCAACAGACTGTCCGTAATCCTCCATAAAGCAGGGAAGAGTGCGCAATGTTAACGACTTCTGACAACACGAAGCTACCGTTGGTTGCATTTTGTTGGGTGTGTGGCAGCCACCCGATTCATCTGTAACCGAAGCAAATTTATAGTGCTGTCAGTTAATCTACATCTCGGAGTGGAAAATCTTGTCTCTGGCAACTAGTGCTGTTCTCTACACGCTGGAAATGCGCATGGCATGAGTGGAGATATCGCGCTACATTAACGTTAGGTAAACGGGTTATGGTGGTCGATTCAGTGTCTTATATTGTTGCTTCAAAAAGGGAATGTCATTGGGCTGTTTCTCCTTCTTGTCCCGAGGGAACAAAAATCCCGTCAGGTGGTCTTCCGGATGTGAACGTGCTGTTGTACAAATTGTGACCTTGACGAATTTTCGTCGAAGATGTAACTTTAATACTCTCCAAAAACGAGTGCCTGCCCGAGGTAGCTTACAAAGCCATCGGATTTCAGCTGCTCGACGAGAGGAGTCTAATTCCTTAGGTGCCAACTCTTTGCCCTCAACACGTTGGAGCCGCACATTTCAGTAGATGATGATTGCCATGTTATGTATTGGAGCTCATAACTTGTTCCAAACGCACACTTGTTTACTATACGGCTCAGTTGTCCTTATTTCTCTTACTTGTCATTTCTTAACGGCGGACTGCTTTTTCAGGACTTTCCCATTATCGTGCGATTCTCTATCAGCATATTTTCAAGCCAAGTCAACGTAAGCTTCATACACCCATATGGGCACATTTTCAGCACTCTGAATCACTACCACTGCATATTTAATTCCATATAGCATCAATGCAAAGTACATACTGACAGTGAAATGGGTGTATTTTCATTCAAATACCTGGTGCTTTATTTATATCGGGTGACAGGTATGACTGAGGAGTGCCCTTGTATTCAGGTAGGCTTGTGCAAACGTTCATAACTGCGGAGTTTCGTTCTGTTGCATCGATTCGGTGACGCTTGTTTTCACGTGCCATTTTGTTAGTCCCATTGGCTGTTTTGAGTCGTTGTCTCTACTTGCGGTTCACAATTCTACCAATACGAACACTCTTCTCCTTGTCTGCATCGTATCGCTACTTTAATTGCTGTACCCTTATTGGCTTTGCACAGTAGCCTAGCCGACGTAACTTTTGACACCTTGGTAGAAATAGGTCCTGAATTGAGTAAACTAGCGTGCAAAAAGTGAGAGAGATAGTTCAGAATGTTGAATGAAAAGTTGCTCTTTCCATCGAAGCACTCATTATCGATAAGCTCATCCTTAATCTAGAGCGTCTAGAAATAAATTTTATTTAACGCGCTTGAGGTATATCATGCTTCTGAAGAAACCTGTGGGGAATAAAAGCCCAGCAGTATAACAACTGGAGGAGTTAGCATATAGTTGCAAGCTTCAGGATCAAACTATGGGGTATGAAAAGCTTTTTGAACCTGGAAGCCTAAAGTAACATTTGTGACCACTCCACTTTTGACTCCATCGAATCGGAGTTATGCTACTATCAATATAACCATACGAGCTGCATTCATTTATCACTTCTGTTTCGTCCCCTCCCTCCGTTTTCGTTAAATTCACGTGCACATCTATACTCCGTTTTTTCACTCTCCAGTGGATCCACTCCCCTCACATTTCTCACATTTTTTCGTGTCCAATTTAAAGATATCCATTTAGTTCACTGCCTCGGACCCATCTTCTGTTACTCCATCCACGTTTGTTCACTTTGCTTCGAGGACACCTCATCGTTCTGCACTAACCCTGTTTCGCTCGTTTTGTGTGGTTGCGTTCGTGGTGTCCCTCTCATCGTCGTCGTCGTCGTCGCCAGTGCGTGACCCCTCGTGACTTGTCCATTTTCTCATCTAGACACACCCCCTTGACTCTTCAAGCGCAGTCACTGGAAGATTTGCATGAATGGTTACTGATCATGGATGGAAAAGAGCCGGTATGTTTCTACCCTTCAGCGACGCATGTGTTTCAAATGTTCTCGTTGTATCGTTTTATGATGTGCATGGTCTGAGCAACCGATGCGGCGACCGCCGTGGCTTCGGTTCTCGTCGGAGTACACATTGTGATTGTGTATGCCGCGTCCTCTGTCCACCTAACGGACTTTTCCAACGACGCGTCCCTAACCGCGTTGTAGCAAGCACTGTTCATGGATATCGATGATTTGGCATTTGTCTGCTATTTACATGTGTGTTATCCCTCACTTTAGAAATTCGCAGTGTTACTTTAGCACCGGGCTGATGCACCACCCCCCCCTCCCCGACTTGGAACCTCTCAACTTCGTCACTTGATTCACCATTTTAGGTTTTTTTGTTGCTTCTACTGGTCGAATAGTCAAACAAGTATTACATGCGTTCATTAGTCTCATCTCGCTTTTCATACGCTTGTACATTTTTGGTGACATTGCGATGCTAGTTTAGTATGATCAAGAGAATAGTGTACAAGATTGCAGTGTGGCCGATGCTATTCTACGCGGATCAGATACATTGATACTTACTCTTGGTACCAGAAAACTAGTTGTCTCCGAACAGCGTTGCCTGCTGCACGTCGCCTAGGCCAGTGTTAATACTGTAGGTTTTGTTTTAACGTTAAAACCTCTTGCTTAATCCTTCTGGAAATCGTCAGTAGTGCGCTTTCCATCTGACCATTGGCTGGCTCGAATCTACCAATCGACTGTTGCCAGTCTAAACTACACGGGGGACGGTAACGACCGCCGTAATATAGCGCCGCTGACTATCCACTGACTTGCGCTTCACTGTCGTACAATGGATAGGGTGATCCAGCTCCAAATGATGGCTTCCGAACCACCCTCCAGCCGTTTAGTTTATGGCAGTAGATTGCGTACTGACTATGAGGTAGTAGTGAATTTAACGTGTATTATTTGTGTCTCCATACGTTCCCATGAACAATGTGGTGATCTTCACTTATTTACATAGCACCAGCTACGTTTCTCGCATACCTGTCGATCGCTTCCGTAGCTTGCATTCTTTTCCATTTCCGTACTCGGTTGTCCATGTTCTCGATGAGTCCATCATGTGACCACTCAAGAACGTATAAAACAGTTGACCGTTGTTCAGCTAATTCATCATAGTCACTCCCAATCAGCAGGTTTAGGCTAGTCTGGAAAAGCACCAGACGCCGGCGTTACGACCTTCCGGGTCTCCTCTGTGGTGCGCCACCAAGCGGACTCCTACCGGGTTCTGCCCCCATGACTTCAGGATGCCAGTAGCCAGTGCCACTTCACCATGGGTGACAATCACGGACCTGCGTGGTTGACTGTTGCTCATGATATAGCCCGGCGCACCTTCCACTGACATGCCAATTACGAACTGTGCAGAGGACAATATCCTTACGAGTTAATACTTTTCGAATGACGAATATGTACGACATAGAACTTAGAAGCTATGCAGACAGCTTTTACATTACTGATCAGTAATAGTGAGGATTTTGGTATAATTCAAGTAATTCTTCATCGTCACTCCCAATTAGCATCAATTGTTGTGACTGAGTCAGTCGCATTTCGCTGTCCCCATCGTGTTTAGTCATTAGAATTGAATTGTACTCGTGAACACAAAGTCGGTTGGACATTTTGACTTTCAACAATCATCCGGTTTAGGAGTCAGACACCAGCTGCTCTCTAACGATACCACGTAGCATTTGTGAAATCTGCGTACGTGTTCGTTACAGTCACACACACTCGCTCCGCTTCATTGCTTAGCCGTGTGTTCTATGCTCCCTTTGGACAGTTTCGCAATTTATCAATTGTTGTATCTTACTGAAGCAATGGTGGGATGCTAACTTCGTCACTATTTATGGATGTGGGGAGTCTAGACAACTACTACTGTGGTTTGCTCACGTGCTTTAATGGCTGATATTAGTTGTTTACGTTTGAGTCCACGCAGAAGTCATTGTTGAAATTGGTATGGCACCCCTGTTCAAACACGGGGATTATTGTGTCGTACTGTTCGAGTAAACCCTCAATAAAAGGAATAACAGAATAGCGAATATGCAGCAAGCTAGAATCTGATGGGCACTCAGACGTGAGTCCAGATTTACTAACAGTCTATACCATTTCTCACTTGGTTGCCTCTCTAACGCAATGGCTTTCGTCCGTAGTGCAGCAGCTTGCCAAAACTTCACAACCCGAAGTTCCCTTACGGCCCATGATCGACGGTATAGGCTCCCCGACCCATGAACTGGGTAGATATTTGGCAAGGCTATTGCACCCTCTAACAGGCGAACGACTACATTCGTGAAAAGCTCTCATGAATTCGCTCAAAAGATAGCAAGTCTCAACACTGAGTCAGATGAGTTGATGCTCAGCTTTGATGTCACATCACTTTTCACCAATGTACCCAGAGAGGAGGCGCTAGGAGTAGCAAGTCGTTATCTAAATGAAAACGTCACTCTGGGTGATCAGGCGAAACTAACGGTTAACCGGCTAATCAAGGGTATTACAATGTATCTTAACATGTCTTACTTCGTTTTTCAGTCAAAGCTTTACAGTCAGGAACTAGGTCTCACCATGGGATCGCCAATATCCCCCGTACTGGCGAACCTGTATATGGAAGACTTCGAGAGCTGGGCGTAAACAAACACCATTAACTCACCAAAACTTTGGTGGCGTTATGTAGGCGATACCTTTGTACTTGTTAAACGGGATAAGAAGGACGAATTGCTTGATCACTTAAACTCCGTTGATGAGAGAATACAATTTACCATTGAGTTGGAATTTTGTAGCGGTACAATACCATTTCTTGACTGCCTGGTTCACAGGAATGGAGGAGATTTAAAAACGACACAATATTGCAAGCCAAGGGATACTGACGGCGTACTCCACTACACTTCGGGTCATCCGAAACAGGTTTACGCTGGGATAGCGTCAACGTTGTTCTGCTGGGCACAAACCTTGTGCACGATGGAGGAGGACAAAAAGGTTGTGCGGAAAGTGGCATTGAGCAAACTATTAGAAAGTGGTTACCTACGGCGGCTTGTCAAACGCCAACTGCGTAAAGTGCTAAATCGGCACTCAAAACCCACATCCGAGTGGATAGGGACGGTCGGAATTCCGTACAAGGAAGTCCATTCGGATAGTACTAAACAAAGAAAATATAATGGTTATCTTTCAGCGAGGTCGAACGTTACGTTCGGCGTTGGTACACCTGAAGGACCCCCTTCCCAAGGATAGGGCGACTAACTGTGTTTATAAAATTAGATGTAAGGACTGTGTTCATAGACCAAACATCGAGAGAAGTACGCACACGAATTTCAGAGCACAGGGGGCGCATTTCAAGATCACCAAGAAACGAATTTGAATACCAAGCAATAGTAAGAGACTCGACCGTGGCTATGCATACATTAGACGCTGTCAGCAGACAGACTTGGAAAACATGGTCTTTATGAGGGGTATACGATCAACGCCTCAGCGGTTGATTGCCGAGGTGGTGGAAATTGCCATATCTGACGACTGCGTGAATAGAATGGAGAGGGAGAACTCTCTACCGCTTGGCGAGCGGTCTTAAGCCGGCCAGCCTGACGAGCATCGGTGCGTGGATCAGATTGTAAAGTGCAGACCGACTCCCGTTGTTGACACTATGGGTTTATCCCTCAATGCCATGACGCACAAAAACACCTGGACTATCCCCAGTTTGATTGAACCGCTAGAGGTGACATCACGAGCTGTTACCTAAAAGACACCCTACTCAAGTCTCGGGTAACGGGAAGAAAAATTATCGCCCTGTTCTCGCTAGAAAATCCCCACTCTAATTGCACACAGATTCACTTGGTCTGACGGAGCCCTTGTGTCAAGGGCGAAACGTTACCGAACTACTACACCAACCGATTATTTCCAAACCTCCGAAAATCTACTTTTGTTCTGATTAACCCATGAGTTGTACTAAATCTGCCTAACTTTTTAATTTTTCGATGATGGTAAGTAAATCCTTCCATTCAGGCTTTTCTGGAAGGCCAGTTTTACCAGCTGATCGACTGACAAACCTTGTGTATGCGGACGGCATGATTCTTCTGGGGTCTGATGCGGTGGCTGTGCAAACACTGGTATTGTATAGCGAGATGCATGGTGCTTTACACCAAAACCTGGCTCATTTGCCAATCTCCGCCACCTGTAGCGTCGGCATGACATCACTCTCGCCCTAAGGGGCGGAGTGTACGATGCAGCCGTGCGTTCGATCTCCTGTACCGTTGCGAAACTTGGCCCACCAGGTTAACCGACAAAAAAGCTGGTTTCTTTTGACCATCACTGTTTTCACAGCCTAGTTCATGTCTGGTAGAAGCTCCCCGCGTGAGCAATGCGCGTCTTATGCTTCGTGTATTTGATGCAGGAAGAGCGAGTGAATCGCTCGGCACCATTATATCCCGCAAAGGCTCCGATGGTTGGGCCACCTGTTGCACATGCCAGCACACTGACTCTGACATCGCGTGTCATTTGCGCAACCTGGGTGTGGATGGAAGAAACGGAGGGGAGAATAAGTGATGACTTGGCCAAAGATGAATGAACTCCCTCACTTCGGACTTGACGTCCGTTGATGTCTCCCTGCTGCCGTGCTGGAGTCCCGAGAATGATACGCACGTATGGTTGGATACACTTTGACGTGGCGAAGAACTGGCCTCACTGGCGTTTGTGTTATTAGTTTCCCTATTTCTTCCCGCTTATCCCCCTTTCCAACCAACTTCTCACACGTGATGCTTAATATGACAATAAGGATCGTATAACCTTTTTAGTCTAATATTGTATTCTGTGCTGTCCTGTATCTCGTTTTCTATCATGTATCCTATCTTTTGTATTGTTGCATATTAGCTGAACAATTTTGTCACCCTCAACAAACTTGTGCCGATGATTGTAATGCTGACGACGATGAAGTTTTTTGCACCTTAAAAGCACTAAGTGTTGTTGCATAGCTCGACCGACAACATCAACACTTCTGACTATTAGCGAACAGCCATTAGAACTGGTAGCTGTGTAACCTCTGGTGTTCACATCACTGAAGAGGCTCGTTCATTTGTCAGTTTTCCAGTTGTTCAACCATCTATAGAGACGGCGGGATATCAGTCTGTCAGTGAAAGATAGCGTGTATGACATCATCATTAATAGCACTACATCAACCACTGCGATAAGGCCGGTGTCACTGTCTGGATCGCAGAGAGACCTGGCCGGTTCGCGGCGAAGTCATTAGACGCTTGACCGTGTTTAACTACCAGTGCTTGCGGAGTATTGCTTACACCTGGTAGGAACACCGGATGCACAGTGCTCTGTGGTCCACCAATTGGTTTTTGACATAACGCTTCTTAGTGCCTTCCTCGAGTGTTTGCTTAAGCTCCACCGCTTTACAGCGTACAGCTCTATTACAGAACTTGCCTCACTCTAATCGAACATCCACTGAAGTGTATACCACCTCTAGTGTCTACTACACTACTGAGGAATTTACTTCACGTATCCGCAAAGCTTGTGTCGCTTTCCCAGCTATCGGTCATCTATGAAGACAGTGAGATTTTGTGTCCATCCATCGAAGTTCGGGTGCAAAATAGTCCAATAAGGCTGGTGTTTACTGTATGGGTCAGAAAAGTGATCAATTCGTGCTGTAAACACGAAACGAACGGCCGTCTTTGCTCACAGGTACTTGTGCGGTAAGGCTCACATCGGATGGCAACACTGGGTCAGTTTTTGTTTGACAAGAAACACTCTGACATCTCGCTGGAGTGTCTTACAAAACTCGGACCTCTTGCACTGGTTAGGCGCATTTTAACACTAACACAGAAACAACAACCGGGTGAGTGCCTTTGCCAAAACCATATCTGCATTCTCTACGGTCTTGCTTCTCAAACGAGGATCTTTCCTTCATTGTGTATGTTTTGCCCTCCGCTCCACAGTTGTATGCCGACCGATCTGCCGATGTCAAAGTCCCTGAACGAAGTAAGCTGACTCTTCTTTCGAGTTCGATCTTTCCATTTGTTTGTTACCCCTATCGTACACTAATTGCTTTCTTTCAAACCCCTTCGTTACCTGGCGATTGTAAATCTATCAGTAGTTCATATTTCATACCTAGCACCCTCGCTATCTGGACCTGCTTCTGACAGACTGAACACCTCCGCATCATCTTGCTAATATTCAAGCTTATCAGAAGCATTCTCGTTGGTTGAGCTTCGTCTGTCGGTTAGCCCGTTGACACTTCCTTTCACTACTGTGTCTTTCACTTTCTACGCACACACGTCACCTCTTTGGGGACTCAGAAACACTGCATCGCATGTTTCAGACACGCGTTGGGTAACAACCGAGGGTGTCACACTAATGGTATTCCCCCTCACTGACATGCTAAAATGATCGATGGCCACGAAAACCAATGCGCCGCGTGGTCTACGGTCTGCTGCATTTACCGTCTTAATATTAAGCTTGTTCTCATCTTGTCACAATTGTCTACTTATCTACATATCTTGTTCAACAGTAACCGGAACTTAGCTCTGTTTCCATTAAAATAGTTTTCCCATTATTCAGTCTGAATGCATGGGGTTAACAATCACTATCAAGCCATCACATGGTCACAAGCTCAGGTCCGCTCTAATGCGCACCTACTCTACCGCCCAACTACGACTTATTCACACCACACTAAGGATTCCTCTCCACATCCGTTCGGGCAGCGCGCCAATCAGTTCGGCCTCTAACATCATCTACCAGTTCACTTGCAGTTGCGGTGACACTTACATAGGCAAGACTGGTCGCCGGCTGGCTCAAAGGGTGGCGGAACATTTCCCATTGTGGCTAAGGCAGTTGCTCTCTAACCAAGGCGGAGCGAAACCAAGAATGAAGTTGAACCCTGCCTCGTCTATCTTCAAACACCTCTTGCTGACTCGTCACCGGGTGAACCCAATCGACTCATTTAAGGTGCTATTGCGCAACAGGAACCCGACGTTGTTGGCAATTGGTGAGGCGCTACTAATATGGTTGAAGTGTCCCGTACTCTGTGCCCAGAAACAACTGAGACAATCAATTAGATTGCCTTGGTCCTGATTACGTCATTCCTATCATTTTTATCTGCTTATCTATGTTACTAAGTGTGGACCCTATATATTGCGTGTTTTTTCTGCCTGTATTGCGTAGCGACTGACGAGAGCAATCGAAATGTTAACATATCGTAACCTCTGTCTTCTTACTGCGTTAATGAAGTGTCTGAAGGGGACTCAATGTTTCAAGTTTCTTAAAGGATAACCCAGCATTAGGCACAATGGCAATCTGACTAGTTGAAGACTGCAAACGCACCATTGATGTCACTTACATGCTGTGTCCTCTAAATCTCAGGGTCAAGCACACAGGGTAGGTCATTTAGACTCTAGGCTAGAAAGTGCAACAGACAATAGCACTCAGTTATGGGATCAAAAATGCAGTTTCTATTGCTGTATCAACGATACTATCTGTATTTCAACTAAACGAAATGTCGACTAATATTATCGGAAAACGAGCGTTGTGAGATGACACAGTTATTTCGCGCATACTCTTCCGTCACGTACATGCAATTGGTAACGAATTTAAAGCAAGGATGTATTGATCGAAATCTGGGTTGCAAAATCCATGAATGCTCCAAATTGGTCCCGCGAACGGATAGAACACGCGACGGTTGCACCATGTGAATCGAGAAGCAAGGTTGCTTCATTAAGTGCGAGGCATTTGATGAGCACCGGATCCATCATTCACAGTCCTTATGCGTAATCAATAACGAGGTTCTCAGGCTCCTCGAGGCCATCGACAATCACACTGAGTCTACTGTGATGGCATGTAACACACCAATCGCAAAACAGTTGACAGCCAGTTGATTTTATGTAACTTTGTTTTGAATTCTTAGTTTGTTGCATGTGCATAGCCAGAGAGTATGTACAAAATGACACTGTTATCCCACAGCCTTCGTCTTCCGATCTTGTTTGGAATTAAAAGGAACGTTTCATGTTCCAAATTAAAGCGAATGTAACGAAGCTCTCGTCAGGAAGTGAAGGGCGGGCATACGCGCGACTCGTTTAAGGTTATAATTTTTGGCTTAGCGAACGTAGTCTATCGTCGTTGCTTGGTGCTCGTCTGTTGATACCACTCTGCATGAGCAATTCGCTGAAAGCAACGATCGTCTGACACATGGAGACACTGGACATATGCAAATCTTGCTGACTTACAAAAGAACCGTCTTCATTTTCATCCTATGTCCATTATCTTTAGGCCGAAAATAGATCCTCTTTTAACATCATAGATCTTCAATTTTACAAGCCTAGTTATCACCCTTGGGACGCAAGTGTTAGTTAAAGCACTCACACAGTGGCAGTTAGCAACATGTCTTCTAAACTTCATCATCATATGTTCTCTGATCCTTCAGTCCTCTGAAAATACAGCCCAACCACTGTACACCTGGGAATTGTGGGGCCTTCGTTGCTTTCTTTACATCCGGTGTGGATCAGCAGATTCATAACTCTCATTACACCTCTTTTCCACCACTTATATCGTCTTGATAATAATAGGAGATGGGTGTTGCCTGCCTGAGGACACTGCACACCATGACGCGTTTCGATGTTGGTTGTTCTCATCATATGGAGGTAGCAGGCCTCGAACTCCTCGCGACCATTGGGTTGTTAACCCAAAGCTCTACTCCTTTGACTACCGAGTCACGACGGGCAACGTTTGGCACAACTTTTAATTGGAGGGAAAGGATTGCGACGCGCAATTTTAATGTGGAACGGGCTTCACATTAAAGTGAATCTTGGTCAATGCGACCACTAGGGCCGGTAGTCGAAGAACATGGAAATTGTGTGTTGCCCGCTCGAAAACATTGCACGCCACGACGCGTTTCGATCTTGTTTGGTCTCCTCTGGTGGAGATAGCAAGCCTCGAACTCGGGACCATTAAGATGTTAATCTGAAGTTTTTCCCCTTTAGCCACCAGGTCACGATGCACAACGCTTACACAGCGGTTAATGACTAATTGGATGATAATTTTGAAGAACTCGTTGTACTAATGGTACTGTGTACATTTCCCGACTCTATCTTGACCTGTTCGCATAATCGGCATAAAGTGCACTTCACAAATCTGGTCATGCTCTTACATGACACAGGTATGTATAGGTATTTGTGCCCACGCACGTCACTGGTGCCATAAAAAATTCACTGAACTGTGCTCTAATGAAAGGCAGCTGGGTTGCGGTTTGGAACATTTTATACTTGCTCTGTATCTTCAATGCATCTTTTGGCGGGATAGTCCTCTGTACTTCTGGACTATGTGTAATTTCGGAGACAAGTGTTGACATCAGTGCATTGCACTTTGACCTGAGACCGTCTCACTAATCAAGCACCGGTTTATCGATGGGTGGCTTGCCATTCCAGTCCACCGACTGTCGCGATGCGCATTGTTTGCGCGCCCGGAGTCTGGATGGAAGAGAAGGCGGGAAGGCCAAGTAATGGCTTAATCAAGTGAAATGAAAACCACCCTCACTTCAACGTTGGCGTCACTTGTTGAATCCAGACTGCCGCGCTGCGGTCCGATGGACGATGAACACGTTTGATTGGACACACTTGCTGACATGGCTAGGAGCTGGCCCCAATGGCGTTTGTGCTGTGAATCTCCTTTCCCATCCCTCTCTTTCTTAGATCTCCCTCCAATCACGGTCTCATAGCAAATTATTAATATGACATTTAACATTACGTTACTTGCTTTTTGCATTTTTTGCAGTATTTTTTGGTGTCATGCTTTTTTTGTTGTGACTCATTAGCTTGGGCGTGTTTCTCACCCTCAGCTGATGTGTATTGCTGCTGATGATGATTGCTGATGATGATGATGTTGATGATGATGACGATGGATGGATGGATGGATGGCTGCAGTGTGTTGTTACCACCTATTCCATTTTTCCTATCATAGATTACATACATACAAGAAACACATCCGCTTGTTTGACTTTTCCTATCATGGCAATACAACTTGGCTTTCTCTGTCCATTCAGACGTTCTGAATAAGCGTGGATATGAATTCCTTTGCAATTTGTTGAAGGCTATCGAAGCAGCTGGTGAGTCATTGTCCTTTTCTCTCATTGCTGTTTGAGCCCCATCGAGCTGCATCCCACTGATTTGGGAAGTACCTGGTTGTTTCATGATTTCGCGAAGTAGCAATTTTGTCTCCCTTTGCGTTGGCATCATTTCAAAGCTGTCTGCGAAGTCTGACTCAGCTCAACGGAAGGTATGCCCACTTCCACAGGGGAACTTCTCTGTACTATTAAGCTATGAATTTGATAATCTAAGTTCCGACAACTCTTGTCTGGCATTTCCACTTATAAAATAGCTTAAAGCTAATGAAAGCCCGGTAGTGTTTGATAGAGTCGCAACAGAACGAACTACGGTATCGATCCACCTAACCGGTAATCGTTACTCGGATATCATTCACTTGCAACAAACGCACTACCATCTGCATCGCCGTGAAGAAAACCGCTGTTATGACTGTATTTGCAAAGGAAGTGTTTGGTTGTTGCTTCTCCCAACACTGACACCTCGCGACCGGTTTCGTCCTCGTTTGAACTCATCAGGTGATCGGAATGACCGGGGTTCCCTTCATGATGAACCGAGGTCTCAATAGAGATTGTATGTCGCAATCCCACCACACGGCTAGTATTCCAAATCACACTTTGAATTCCTTGCCGCTGGGCCAGGCGTTGCTCACGGATTTTTGTTGACATAGCGATCAAGGTTTCAGCCTTGAACCAATAGCCCTCCAATTTCCACCCCAGCACAAGCTGCCTCCACATGATGAGTCTAAACGGAGACGAATCTGGTCGTGGGGTTTCAATGTTGGGGAGCGCAACACCGAAACATCTCCATCGCTCAGCACTTCTTTATTGACAAATTTCTTTCTGCTGTGCGCTGTGCTACCTAAGGGATAATTGACAGACCGTTAATCAATGTATGGAAGTACTTGCTTCTGCACCTTCGTATGGCTGGCGGAAGTCCTTGCATAACCTAGCGAGTGCTGCAACACGCTTACACAATAAGTCATGAATCACTGCAAAAGAGCGATATGTCCTATAAAGTGCGGGAAATGTTCGCTTAAATACTATCAAATCAAAAATCGAGAAACCGAGATAAATCTTTAGTGGATAACGCTTAATGTCTGCCTATATTCTGTGGACACTTCACTTACACAAAGTGACTACGACAGATAATCGCTTAGCGTGTGCTTTTCATGCTTCAGTGACATTCATGTGTGAAGTCCCGAAGTAGTCACACCAGTGAATTAGTTAGTAACGATGTCTAGGAACAGAGCATGGTTGCGTTTCGGTCTATACGATATCAGATACCGCGATGTAGACCGATTTGTGCTTTCTTAACTTAGCTAAACTGACCGTGGCATATGATGGTAGGCACCCAACAATCACTTCACCTACATATGCCATTAAGCTCGCTCATTCAGATACAGGGAATTGTAAATGGTGTTAGAGTATCTCTTTGGAGGTTGTGACGCCAAGCCTCGTAATCTACATGCGTTTGGAGTAATAACTCCTTTACAGAAAAACAAGATATGGTAAAATTATTTCTTTATTCCATAACCTTTATGCTGTTCCTAACTGAAGGATCCATTTTTCATTCGTTTCTATCTCAGACCTCCGAACACCTGGTCTTTACCGAGTTTCCGGAGTACAATCCAAGATTTCCACTTTGGTTCAGCAGGCATTGTGTAAGTTGTCGCTAACCTGATAGGATTCCCATATTTTCCCTCATTATAGGACACTTTGTGATTTGTTTTCATGGGAATCCCGCGACCCACTTGGACTGGATTTACACAATCCCCTTTGGCCTATCCTCACCCATGGTACTGCGTTAGCACAGAAGGATCTCATCGTTCGCACTGCCTCATATTATGTACAATCACTTTGTACTCAGAAATCTGCATGACCACGGTTGTCAGTTTGGACATTCACAAATTTAACCTGTCGCTTGTAGCTGGTTGCTTGCAAAGAAGTTTCTTTCTAACAAATTCCGGCCGGTGGCGGACAGGATTACACGATTGCATTGTAATCCACACGTCGTTCGTTGGAATCTGCATACTTACTGGTAACCTCATGGTATATCTGGCCGTCGCGCGACTAGTGGTGATCGCATGTCAGCGAAGCGTCGGCACGGTGTGTCGGCGTACTTATAATGCCTTGCTGATTGGATGTTACCATAAATTCTACGTTGCAGTAGGTTAGGTTACTTGTATGTACCCATAAAGCAATACAGAACACCAGAAGCCAGTCGAATGTGGCAACAATTGATGACCATCTTAAACTAGCCGCTTCAGGCCGCACAGCAAGTCAGTTTTACTGCATAGCAAGATGCGGCCTCACATGTTTTATATTTCTTGAAAATCTGCAGAGATCGTTCAGTTAGTCGTCCGCCTTGAGCCATCAGCAGCGTTTCCATTAGCTTAAACTCGAGTCTCTTTGGGGCCGATACAATCTCACAAACCAAACGGCATACTCTAATCTGTGCACATACGAATTACTACAACCTAACTTCACCAAGAAACTACGGTACAACTTATGTAGATTGTTTGCACCAAGAACTAGAACAGTTGCTCCATCCAACTTCTTCCTCATTCGATACGCTGTCGTATAGAGTAGCCTACCAACCACTATCAGGTCTGGCATAAATGCAAAAGCATTCCGCATTCACCTTGGAAGTTTCCTGGACCAGACTACGATAACGACCATGTTTCCATCGGGTATATCACTAACTGAGTTGTTTCCGCAATGAACTGCGCCAAAAGAAGTTACACCCAACTCAGCGAAAACACAATTTATGGATTTTTGTGAGTAGTGTAATGTTCGTGGAAAGTAGAAGTCACGATTAAACTGCACACAATAATCTGCCTCGACGAGGAATCGAACCCCGGTCCCACGAATTACCGGTCCGCTGCTCTACACTGAGCTACGAACATTACACTACTCACAAAAAGTCCACAAGTAATCTACCATCGCCCTTTGGACATCAGAAGGACAGATACTTCGGTCCATTGGGAAGTGCCGAGTGAGTGAGCCAATCTGCAACACCAGGACAGGTACTATTGCGCGCATTGGCAATACGTCGCGCACCAAGCAGAATTCATGTATTAACTTGCGCACCTAATCGTCAGCCCTCGGTAGCTCAGTGGTAGAGCAGCGGATCGGAAATTTGTGTGACCGGGGTTCGCTTCCTCGTTGAGGCAGATTATTGTGTGAAGTTTACTCGTGACTTCTATTTTCTACGAACATAATTTGTGTTTCAGGGTGTTTTGATGACAAACGCTCCAGAGTACACATGTCATTCATGCATGAGCATAATCATTACTGTACTCACGATCTGTCCGCAATTCAGGGACAGCGTCTCTCACAATCGAGAAGTATACGCATTAAAGAGTACATACAGCCCATGTCCAGATCCTGTGAGCCTATCTAGGAGCCTATTGTACAAATGCCGGTTCCATCCCAAAACGAACTATGTTGTCACGTACTCTGAGTTTTCTACTTTCTCACCCAAATAAACTACTATTCTATCGCTGTACTCCAAAAAGTGAAACATAGGCAGGGATGGCCTTCCGGCAGACGCTAACATGGCCACGGGCGTTGTTGTATGAGGAGAAAAGTGGAGGGTAGAAACTTCTTAGACATACGCTTCAGAGATAGACATCAGTACACACGTGTGCGATCAGCCGAGTCGAAGGTAACCTGCAAACCAACAAGACTTTTGTGTTGTATTTTTTTGATAGCATTATGTTCATGCATCTTCTAAACTGGTTCGTAGCCTTAAGGATTGCAAACTTGCCTTATACTCCAAGGTCACAGGTTCAAGCTTGCGTATGAGCGGGCGACCCTTGCAGTATCCGGAGCCCACGTGCGACTGGTGCTGGTTGCGCGGCAGCGAAGCGTCTATACTGCGTACCGGCGTACTGCTGATGCCTTTTTTACGCACCTTTTAAAGGGTTACACTGTGATCAATACACGTGTTCCAGAGCAGAAACCAGTATGGCTCTCCTCTGTTCGACTTTCGTGAGCATCGGTGAGCCACGGAAGCATGATATTGGCGCATACTTTGGCGATATTGGAGGTGAAACTGGGAATGTATTAGAGCATTCCCCGCAGATTTACGCAAGCGCTGGTAATCGGTCTCCACAAGTGGATTCATCGGTGCTTAGCACTATCCACAATGTCTCGGGTGCCTGTCACTTGTGTGCCCTACTTTTAATCACAATTGTCTTAGTCTCAAGGTTCCTCTTGCTGTTATCCTTCTTTACTCCATGTTTTGCCACTGGTTCTTATAATTACGACTGCTTTGGTCGCGTAGTGCACTTCCCCTGTCTCTCTTTCATGCGCCTCGTCGAACCAAGTTGTTGTCATGTATTTTACGGAATTTCCCTCGCTCTTTATCTATCTTCGCTATCTACCTGGTAGAACACTCATCTTCTGATCGGTTTCGGACGGAGTACCTCTACAGGTTAACCATCTCAGGCACTTCCCACCTCTTTCTATTTTTGTAATCCACGTGAGCGCTTCCACGCGTGGTGCAGTGGCTTAATTATTCGTCATGCGTTTTCATTTCACTTGGGCTGGACTGACGCGCTCTGTCTCCAAAAATGTTTGATAGTGTGTGCTGTTTCCTCATCGCATACCTACTGTTCTATCTTTCACCGACTGATTCACTTGTATTTCGTGCGAAATTACAGGAGGGCGGGTGGTGCGAAGGTGTACGATTTCGCTCCATCTGAACATTTTCAAACCAATAACTTATATCCACTTAGTTCATTTATTTCTCTTGTTTCCCTCCTGCATTAGTTAACTGTGCTTACTTAGCGTTCTCTCCTCTACGTTTCGCAACTTGCAGGCTTACGCCATCTTCGAGGCTTTAGTCATCACTATCGTCGTAAACAACAGTATATCAGCCATCTGAACTGATGGTTCACCGCTGTCCAACTATGGTGACTTACGGAACGAAAAATATTAGGCGGGCTAGAAGGGGGTCTTAGCGTAAACAATACCAGAAACAAACATCCAGGCTCAATGCGCCTACACCTTGCGTCGACAACCTACCGTCATAAATAACTGGTTATCGTGCAAAGATAAGGCGGTATCAGCGAGTCAACTTCTTTACGGTTTTCACACTGCCTCGTGACGTGGCCAGCAGATTACTCTGCATCCGATACACTATAAACAAGCAATGCGGCTATACCTTTTCCGAGACTATTGCATGCATATCTCTTTCCTATTCCTCCGTAAGGAACTCATATTCATCCATTGATCTAACATGATGTGCCTTAACACTGTCAAATGACATCCAACGGACGCAGATGACCCTACATGCTGCTGTTCATTTGGTTTCCAATCCCAACTCAACTAGTAGCGCATCCCACTGTGTGTGTACTCATCCGTTACACTATCGGCTGATTTGGGATTGTTCACTTAACGGACAGTTCACTGCAGTTCAGTTGATCAACTATGATCCGAGCACCGAAGTCCAGTGGATCCAGTTGCCACGACTCACACCGAAAGAATAACAATAAATAACAACGGTGGGATAGTAGGATTGGCTGCAAACAGATTGCATAGAAAATGGAAGCAAGAAAGAAACACGTTATATTAATCCGAATGGCCAGAAACCGAATACAGGAACCCCACCGAATGCGTGACTGCGCAATGTCTGACATGGTCTCTAACCATCGGTGTGGGCCATTTCGAGGCCCTCATCCAGGAAGACGGCACGCGCCAGGCTGACCAAGTCTCTCAGTCAATTTCTTCAAGCTTCTATGCCACGTCATAGACTGGCCACCTCGAGCTTTCGCCCGACTTGGTGCGGCCACGGTGTATAGTAAACGCCGAGGAAGCCGGCCAACGTGACTACGGAGGACATGGCCTAGCCGACATAAACGAGTGAGATTTAGTAAACACTGCAGAGAAACACCAGAGGTCTTCTTGCCAAAAACCAACTGGCGAACCTCAGCAGTGCTCACCCGGTTCTCACCAAACGTGAGCAACACTTCGTAAGCACCGGTGGTCTAACACGGCCAAGCGTTTAATGTCCACTACGAACTGGCCAGCTCTCTTATGCACACAGTAAGACCCGTTTTATCTCAACGTTATACATCCTACCTTTCACTGACAAGCTTATATCCTGCGATGTGCAATTCTAAGAGCGTTTGCGCTGTTGTCTGTCATTTGATAACGTTAAGGACAATCCTGAAAGATCTACGGAAGAACATGATTACCTTAATGGGGATTTCAAGAGCGTTCTGGATGCAATTGGCTAAGAGTAGGTATGGAGCACGATAACAAGCACCCCACTGGTACCGACTGCGAGCCATGTCATGTAACGTTTCGAGCCAAACAAAAGGCGAATCACGTAGCCTCCAGGCTGGAAGGCAAGATGGACCAGCAGCCTCCAGTTTTGTAGTCAGTGACTTCAGTTCGTGCTGCCAAGTCAATTTTTGACCATCTCGAGCCCTGCGCCACCCTACATCTAGCAGACAAAAGAATCCTCCTCGATAAGCGACGATCAGGCATAAGCGCCCAAGCCAACGCAGCTTTCCGTTTCAAAGAACTTGCCTGATTATCACTACGTAGCACTGATCTACGCGCATCATTGTTGCGGACAAGCTGGTGTCATCCGACAGACTGCGCTAATCATAGGCTTAGTGGTGCCTCGGACCACAGGGGCCACATAGTG